AAACATCGCCTAATAATGAGCTGCTAGTAATCATGATTGCCTTAGCTTTATTCCGGCAATTAAGAGATCTCATCAGATATGACCCACGAAACTCCTTATCTGTCTTTAGCTTTGTATTAACTCACGTTGTTATTGCTAGTCTGGTGTGTGGGTCTCTTCCAGCAAAACATGGTTGATGAAGCCAGTAGGATATTCTGGGGAAAGGAGTACATAGAAGCATGGAACAACTACCGAGACGCAGTAGTTACTCTCGCGGTTCTTGTAGATTTTGGTGCTCCTGGTATCACTTCTTGTTCTGTGATGGATAACCATTTGTGTGTGACGTAATAATGATTGATTACTCACCAACTGGTTGTCAGTTTTTCGTGGCATTCAGGGTATCGGCATTTCTTCAGGCTTCCGTACGTACTTGCTGTCGTGTTTTCAGTTCCTGTAGGTGTTAATATTTCTTATTTTTGCAGCTGTGTTTGTCGTTAATTGGATTCAATTAGTATATCACGAGTTGGTGTGCTTTTTGAGTCCTCGTTGAGTTTTGAAGGTCTCCTAAAGGTTACTTGAATTCCTCCTGGGGTATCAGGTCTGCGTGCCGGAGATGGCGACCGTTTCTTCAATAAGTGTTTATTTTCTTGATTGTGACAATAGCCGCTGATAATCGCTATTGCCGCATTTGTGTTACGTCATGCTTGTCTGTTTTTAAGGGTTATGATCACAACGACTTGATTTTTATTTTAGCTGAATGTGTTATCTATTCCTGAATAAGTCAGTCATCAAGTAGATCCAGACCATGTGTCGTTTTTCGTAGCCATCATGTTATGTGAGATGGTTTTCTGCCGTGGCTGTTGCTATCTATATGGTTGTATGAAGACCTCCCACTATGTTATTTGGTCTACCATGTGCTGTATTCCACAGGTTTAGCTTGTTTTTCAGTATAATCAGTGCAAGGTTAGAGGTTATTATGCTTTTATGAGGTAGGTTAGTCGTAAATTATAAGTTGCGTTTTATTATTGGTACCCAGTGTCATTCTTCGAGCAATATATATGGCTGCTCCGAATCCAGTCCAGTCCTTTTTCCTTTGGGCTATAAGCTCATGACCATAGTCTCAGATGGGGATTATCGGATAACCCATCAACCTAATTTTTGTTCATAGTCTCATGTGTGCCGAGCGTAGTGTCGGTTTGACTTCAATTATTGCTGTTTTCGTTTCACCGATATCTTGTTTGATCGTATCGTCAGGAGTCCTATCATTTATTATGAATGATCCAAGGTAGTCCAGTGTTATTACTTCTTAGGGCTTTTGATTGACTTTTGCTATTTCGAGGTCACTACTCTGTTTATTAGTTAACATAACTTTGGATTTGTCATGGCGAATTTGCATTCCAAGTCTAGCTAGGTGGTTTTGGGGGGGGGGAGTGAGGGTTTTTGTGGTTTAACCAGATGTTGTTGTTGTGGAACATATGTCATCTACATACACAGTGTTCAGCAATGTCCAGATTGTGTTGTTGTTATCAATTAGTTTATTGCGCGTAGTTATTCAGTCTATTGTGCAACTGAGAGTTTTTTAAACGCGTGGGTGGCTTTACCTATTTCCTTGTCTTACTCTGTGGATGGTACATTGTAGATATGAGTCTTCTTGGTGACCCTTGGGATGATTCGGCAATTTAACAGTGGTTTTGATGAAATTTGCAGTGTTTTTAGAGTCGGATTTTTGTAGATTGCCAAAATCTTTAGTAAGGTCAATGAAGATAATTATTAGATCTTGATTGATGTTCAGGGCACATTAGGTTTTGTGCCTTACCATCGTGATCCCATGTACAGTAGACGAATGTTTTCAAAATCGAAGTTGGGTTGGTCGAAGATTTTCCTGGTTGATTGTCTCAGACATTCACAGCTCATCCCAGTAAATGTCATTCCTATCGCATCAAATGCAGTGAACGGGAACACAAGTGAGGATAACCAAATGTGTTTGGACACAAAATTACAGAGCATATTATTAATGAAATCTGAGAAGCATAGAGTAAATAATTGATTTGCAAAATTTAAATCAAGTGTCTTAGACCTCACTGTTTCTTTGTTTCCACACCAATGATTCTCTGTACTTGTTCTCTTTTCTTCGATCTCATTAACCTTCTTCCTCCAGACATTTCACTTCCGATTGATGACACACTACTTATATCTGTCGACATCAGGAGCAAACACCACAGGTTTTCTTGATTGTTTGTTTCAGACATTCACAGATCACTACAGTAAATGTCTTTCTTGTCGCATCAAGTGAGAATATGGTTTGATAGTTGTTGGGATCATTGCGTAACACTTTGTTTTGTATATTTTGAGGACGTTCACAACTAACCACTTGGCCATAATTGCATCTGCGTTCTCCTATACGTTGTTCATTAGTACTAGCATTGAAATTAGATTTATTTCAACGAACTTGATCATTTCGGCAGTCACATTATTATGGTCTGAGGCTCTATGGTTCGGTGTACGAAGTTCTCTAGTTCCACTAAGGTTAGTGGGAGCTTGACTGTTTGATTTGATTGATTGGCATTTTCGATGAAGGTAATGTTCTGCAATTGTATTTCTTTGAGTAGCTTGTGTAGCTTCCAAACTAAATAAGTTCGGAATGAGTAGTAACTGTCTAGGTCAGTTTAGATACGTGTTATCACCCAATCGAAACCGAAACGGGGTAACCGGGTAAATGACGGTTTTAAATTTCATTATAAGTTCAAATGTACATTATTAGCTTAACAAATATTACCACCCGGTTATTTAAGCAGTGATTTTTCAATCAGTAGTAAAATCTGAATTACATTAAATAGATAAATTAACATAGGATATAAGAGGATTATTGAGTGAAACAAACAAATATTCCTGTCAACATGAAAATGTCATCATATTTTTCCTGGATAGACTATTTACAGATTGTTTGAAAGGTAATATTTAATTTTTTCACAATACCAGGCGTTTATAGATCTGAAACAGTGCTTCAATTCACAGGCAAAAATGTACGATTCCGGTCAACTCGAGCAGTGTGATCAAAAAGAAGTGAAACAACGTGTCAGCTGTCATAATTTAATATCAACTAAAATAGCATAAATATAGTTCAGGGAACAAATAAGAATTCAGTGAAGAAATAAGAGAAAGGACTGGGGAAAAATATAAAAGCATCAGCTCAAATAGAATCAAAAGATCAAGAAAATGTATATCTGGGCTTTTCAAGAAGAACAAATCACCGCAGTGTGTACGTGGAGGAGTTTTCATACTCAAAACCTTCAGAGATGATCTTTCAAACTTATAGACGGTAGCCGACTTTTGCTTAGAACATGAACAACTATTGGTGGACCTTGTTGGTACCTGTTTTCCAGCCTCACAGTGATCTCGGGCTCGCAGTGGGTCATAATCTTGGACCATAGCTCATTGACGTGCGACCGTAGATTATTATTATCATCAGCTTTATTCAATATTATATTTTTGGTACAATATAGAATTCTCAGCGCAAAGTATTTCAACAAGTTTACGTTTCTTTCTTCTTGGTCGGTCCTGGCGATAAATATGGAGAGTCGGATATCCTAGAAAAAGTACAGAGTGCAGATACTCGTGTAATTCCAGAACTCTGGAGTTTACTATACAAAGAGCGCCTTGGGAAGCCAGACCCCTCAATTCTATTCAACCGCAGATTGATAGGTGATCTGATTCTGATTCACGGGGCACTAAGAAGTGGTTTTACATGCGATATATTCTCTCTTTTATTTCTACTTGGTCACAAAATCTCAGAGGACATTACTTGAGAGTAGAAAAGCCGTGAACGGACAAAGTACTTGTGGCACATCGTTTCCACACCTCGTCACCAATTATTGGAACCTCTCTCTCGAAGACGTAGTGCTGGCAATTTCAGCTGACTCATCCAATAAAATATGACACACCCTCAGAAGCTTGAAAATGACTGAAACAGACCATAGGCCTTATGTCATCAATACACATCTGAAAATTTTGAATGTGGTTCAAATAGTTGTGGATGGGATAAAAGAAGCTTTTGCTTAACGGGCTTCCGGTCCTAGTAGTAGTGGGTCAGCAATACTCTCAGGCAGGGACATATGTATATCAACGATAATAGAGGAGAAAAAGGAAAGAAATTAGTAAATCATCGTAAGATGTTATCCTTAGTGCTTAAGAATAGGTCAAGCTTCCTCTTAAAGGACTCCTAGGACGTCGACTGGACTAGTTCAGTCGGCAGAGAATTCCAGCGTTTGACAACTCTCAAGGATTAGAAGTTGTGTCTACAGTCCGTTCTGCTGTTGTATCTCCAATTTCTGGGTGTTACCCCTTAGGTTTTTATTAGAACTAAGCTCAAGTAGGTGCTTAAGGGGATTTCCAGAAGTGCTAAGGATACTGTTAGCCATTAGAAAGCTACCTCTAAGACGCCTATACTCTAATGGGTAAAAGTTGTGATTAGAGGCGCACTTCATAAGGTTAATCAAGATCACACACAATTGAATTTGCGTCAGCAAATTAGGTAAAGGTCTTTTTTCCTTAAAGCTCTGTTTAAAACCACTTAAGGTCGTTCTTTTATGCTCTTAGACAGACTAAAGATAGAGGTTGTAGGGTATGAATAAACGCGCACTGTTTGACATATGCGTAATTTCACTCACAAGTTGTTTGTGTAACATGTTAAGAAGCCTACTTTACTAACCTGCAGTTTCGATTGTCAGATTTTTTCAATATTACTTTCACAATATTGGTATTTTTTGATTACTTCGACTAATAAACACGTGCATCATGTGTATCTACTGAGTCGTCCGTTCACTGCTGTTTTTTTCTTGACCAGATTACTTTTCATACGCTACTCTATACAATTTACTTACATACTTTCAGGCTTCAAACAAGATCCCAGATACTCAAATCCCATTGGAAGATTTACTCTAGGCGTTTGTTGCCATCTGGTCGCGTTGCATACCACACCTATAATTGTGTCATATCAATATCATTTGATATTAGGTTGAAAAATGGCAAGTGGCATGATAACATTAATAGCGGAAAATCAAAGTTTTCTAGTAAGTTGTCTATTTTGCTCAATTTTCACGGATAAATTTCAGTAACCCTGTAGTATTCGAATATGAATAGCTTAGTCTGCAGGCATACATGTAGGCTTACAATTGCGATTTATCTAAGCCATAATCGCCATCCTTGTGAAATAGTCAGTGACCGTTTTTGTTGGTGTTTTATGACCGAAAATTTATTTATTATGACGCTGATACCGTCTTGGATACACTACATAGAATCCTTCTGTATCCCATCTATTTGCTTCTTGTTAATCCTTGACCTTCGCCTAGCTTTTTTGTGCTATCATAAAATGCCTTGAAGGATCGTTTGCCAATTTCAAAGACTAATCAGTTAATACCCCAACTGATTATACTTAAACTCGATGTATGTAGCCATTGATGTAAATGTACTCACTCAATTATATGGCTGTTTGAATAAACCCTGCAAATCTTTTTTAATTAAAAATCAGACAGCTAATTATGGGCCAACAATCATCCAGGCATTGAGTTGAGTTGAAACACTACAAATATCATCCGGATAAGACAGGGTTAAGTGATTTGCGGAAGAAGTCAGGTGATGGCTGATTAAGAGGTAGTCCAGTCTATTGCTGGTTATCGAATTTCGTTTAGCCTCAAACATACTGGTGATAAATATCTTTCAATCAACATTGTGATAAAATGGAGTCCTTTCGTTGAGCAGACTAACGTCGTTCCTAATTTTATGGATTGTGGGTAAGAATGTAGCTCATTTATTTCTAAGTTCTAGTTGAGTTGTACTTGAATATGACTCATACAGTCTGTCAAAAACCAGCTATCATCTAGTTACTACTCTGGACCATGGTACTTACTTGCGCTTGTTACTCCCAATGGAGCATAGGCCGCCGACTAGCATTGTCCAACTCACTCTATCCTGGGCCTTTCTAGGTCAATGCGATTTTTGTTCATTCTTCCTATGTCTGTTTCCATTTCTCGGCGTAATGTGTCCTTTGGTTTTCCTCTTGCCCTTTGGCCTTGAGAATTCCAAGTGAGGACTTGTCTTGTGACGCAGTTGGGTGCTTTCTTCAATATGTATCCTGTCCACTTCCAGCGCTTCTTCCCGATTTTTTCCTCGACTGAAGTCTGGTTCTTTCTCTCCCACAGTAGGTTGTTACTGATAGTGTCTAGCCAACAAACCTGAAGTATTTTGCGTAGACAACTGTTAATAAACACTTGTATCTTGTGGGTGATGGCTTTCATAGTTTTCCACGTTTCCGCCCTATATAATAGAACACGGTAGATATAGTGGTATTGTAACTCATGCTTCAAGCACTCTAATACTTGAAATTAGAATTTAAAATTAATCTAATATTACCCTAACACTCCCTAGAAAATACGTTATTTCATGTTAAGGTTGTTGATGCGTTGAGCGAAATTAGAAGTAATGTATACCACCAAATATCATCCTTACACTGAGTACAAAATCTTTCCAAACTTTCATGCGATAATAAGCGTAAATACATTATCTGTGTAGTTATTGGACTGTTTACCATGTTTTACAAAACGTTTCTAACGTTAGAGTGGAATTTTTGCATAAAATATTTCGTGTTTTTAAAAATTGTCTATAACGCAATTTAAACGGTGTATTTATCTGTGAAAAGCAGTGTACGTTCTCATACGTAGCAAACGTCTACTCATATAGCTTTACTTATAAGCAAATGATGAGTAGCTAGATTTCACCGAACTGATTCCTGTTTTACTAACTGTAAAAATTAAGTCACAGTTTAATAGTTGCTTATGGGGTTAGATGATTGAGATTAAGTTTAGTGCCGGTTCAACATAAGCTGTCGAATGTTGTACATAAACAGACTACTCTTTTAAGTTAGTTACACTCTTTAGATCAGTTCCATCCCATTGGTCATTCAATAATTAGTTTTCTGTTCATTTCAGGTACCTCGTGATGTACTAACTAAATCTAGTCTGTATTTTTATGCTGCTTTTGAGAGCGGGATGACTGAAAGCAAAACCAGCCAGTTCAGTTTTCCTAATTTCACTGCTCACCAGTTAGCTATGGTTGTTCAGTTTCTGCGACCTGAATTAATTATTCGGGATGATGCTTTAAACAACCATAGCAGTGGATTAAATAACTCTTGTCCAGAAACGCTGAAAATTTTAGAAGCTTTGGATTTGGCTGATGCAGCAGATTACTTTCAAATGCCCAAACTTATTCAAACTTGTATGCAGAGAATATCTCATATCATGAACGAGTTATTTCAACCTAAATCCATTCAACTTCATGAATCACATAGCTGCGATATATTCTCAATAATATTACAAGAGTTTGCGAAAGTGTCCCACTGTGAAAATGGTTGCGTTAACAAGCTTTTTTCTGAATACACCATAAAATACCCTCATTTTATCCTCAGACCATGTCTTTCAGATTCAAACTTACAGCATCTTCTTATTAATTTGGCTATAAGCTATTTGTCGAAAAGTGTCATATGCATACCAGACGAAGATATAATTTTAAATATTGTTCTTAGCTGGTTACAGATATTGAAACCAACTGAGTTTTATACAGAAAATACTGTTCAATGCTTTTGCAATGCGTTCGTCCCGGCCTTCTTTCACTAGACGGTCAAGAAAAGTTATTAGATTATTGGCGCAACCAACATTCTGAGTTGAAGTGGTTTGGAAAGCTGACATGTGCAGATATGGAGGTATTTTTTAAAAGTATTCCGAATGGGGGAATCTTTTGCAAGTCTCCGTTAGCTTCTCAACTCCAGCTTTTGCTAGTAAAGCCTAGAGCCGAATCTCTCTGTTTACTTGGGTTAGCTCCAAGTCGTTCTAGCAACTCATTAGAATTTTGGCTTTTCAATCTTCACAATGGAGCTTATCATAACTATCCCATACCTGATAATTGTCTGCGGGAACTTGATCTGGACTCCTCTGGTGTTGGTGACATAGATCATCGCATTTACTTCTGTCCAGTAACGTACGGATCCGGTTCTTATCAAAGTAATTTGTTTGTTATGTGTTTTGATCCAAACAATGCAACATTAAATGGCTTTGCTTGGTGTCTGGCTTCTTGTCGTGCCAAACTCATCCCTCGTTTGCTTCTTTCTCCTACGAACAACAGGAATGGTACTATCAATTCTTTCTGCTTCCGATCTAGACGAATCGGTGTAACTACGTTGTCCAGTGGTCTTTACATGTATTATCTTTCTTGTATACAAGAGGTCGCATGGTTGTGTGCATTTCGATTTGATCTGAGCACTTGGAACTGGTATGGAATAGAACCTTATTGTTTGTCTAGGAACCAGAATGGAATGATGTTATTTACACCAATCGAACAGTTAAATTCTATCCCACCTGACGACTGGGTATACGCTAATATTGAGACAGTTTCGTCGAATAACTCCAGACACCCACGTCACGGGCTTCATCAAACTTCAGCACTTCGGTCACAGTTCTTTCGATTTCGTCCGCGACCTGATGGAGATGCATTATTTGTAGAGAATCTACCTAATCCACCTTTCCTCATCAGAATGTACCGTTTGCTGGCTATCAGTTGCTCTCTGCAAGGTAACTTTAGTGGTAAGTTCTTTGTTTATTATTAAGTATTATTTCTTTTCATTTGGGATAGTTTGTCTAGATTCCCCTCACCTATTACCAGTATACTTTAAAAATACTGATCAATAAAAATTTTCTCTCTACTAAGAAATACATTAAAAAACACCCGAAGGATGTTTGTTTTCCTTTCTGTTGTGTTGTTATCGACCTTCAACATTAGTTTTGCTGGTGTTTGATACTGGCATGATCATGCACGTTCATCTCAAGTTTTGAAAGCTTCTACTAAATAGATCATATGAGATCAGATAATAATCTCCATATACTCACATGTTACATAAATTACTTGTTTTACTGGTAAATCGTAAACTGACGATATATACCGCATAGTATTATTTAGGGAAAAGTTGGTGAATGGGTTCTTACTCGAAAACTTTAAGATCTTACCATAGAATCCTGCCAGGTTGAACTCATTGGTTGGGTTTGGTAACTTCTGGTACCTGTTACAGTCCATCTGAATCACTGGTTACAAATGGCTTGGTGTTTGATAAAAAAATATGTGGTGGACGGTTTTCTGCTTAACAATATGCAGGGCAACTTTAAACATCGGGTAATCGTCTTATCGATTTTGACCATACTTCCCCCACCTCGACCAGTTACTACCAATCTACTTCAAAAAGAGGATATTCAGATGCGACTCCATCTTCTACAGTCCAAAATCCCTAAACCTCTCACCAAAGACAGAGGCAAGATTATTGGTCAAGGATCTGACAGTTCTTTTTGGAAAGGTTTACCAAATGGAATGTTCCATTACTTTTAATAATGCACTGATCTTCAAAAGTCTTTTATGGATGTGATAAATATCAGGTTATACTTCTACCAGTCTTATATCGGATATTAGCTTTTGTTATGTCTGTTACAGATAGTGTAAAACTTGTAGAAGAAAAATCAATTTTCATGGGGCAAACTAATTTTCGCTCAAATTGGGAATTTGTTGTACCTATTTTCACCATCCGAATATTGGACTTTTATCTCACCTGTTTCAAGCCAATAATCCGTACTTTACAGTCAGTCACTTTACTCGAATTGTCTGTTGAAGAAACATATCATTGAAGTTTGTTAGCATTCTGAAAGCTCTAAAAAGAAATCTCTGATGAAACAGGGACATGCAATCATCTCTCTGTATGATTCTACACACAGGTTTAGAAGGACTACCCAATCCTACTGGTTTCCTCCGATTTTTTCATCTATGATATGCTATAAGTAGCTCTAAAAGTGTCACGTTTTATTAACACATTTCTGTTTTAGATAAGACTTATTTGTTTCCTATGGGGACTTGCTCTCGGGATTTAGAGGCTACACACTATTGTTTTGACACGTTTTCCTGCCAATGGCTTCGATGGAAACCGGTTCAGACGTCAGATATCGATGAGTTAAATCCCATTAGACAACATCCTTCTGAAGACATTGAGCTAACGTTTAATCTATGTCCTAAAATTCTTGGTTTTCGTGGTCTTGTTTGTGCTACACACATTTTGAATAGATTGGATGAAAACAAGTTATTATTATCTCGAGAAACTTACGTTCAGAACCCTGATGGTGTTAAATCAAACGATCATCCACTTTCCTCATCCGTAAATGATTCAAGCTATAATGGAAGCTTAAATTCTACAAATAAAAATAGATTAACAACATTGTTGGTTTTAGCTGGTAGACCGGACCAAACTAAACATGTGACATCTGGGATATGGTTTCATCACCCTCAAGCTTGTAATAGTTCGGACGAAACAATTGCATTATTCAATTCTCAAAAACCAAATTATTTTCTACCAACTGCAATCGCTCAAACCCTGGACAATACCTTTCCCCAACAGCAGTTGTATTGGCTAACTGGACACATATTGTACAATCTGTAAATCCTATCACTTTTTTAACTAATTTTTCTAAACAAGAAAACTGTGAACTAAACAAATTCTCATATATTTACGGAAACTTTCCTGAAAGCTCCAACTGGTCATGGGATAGTGACTAAACAACAAATTTTTCTTGTGATAAAAGATAAGTTAGTCCATAATTGCATTTTTTAAAATTGTATATTGGTTAGTGCAATATGCAAAGGAATTCGTTGTATCATATATCACTTCATTAGATCCACTAGTTCCTCGTTTTCACAGTTGTTCCCACTGTTGCATTTATTTTGTACTTCCAAGAGTTAACTTTTATATATTTTAATGTGCGTTAAGTTGACTGTTTATATTTTATGTAAGTGCCTTTATTTCCAGATTTAAAATTCCCAGTCAGTATTCTTGTAATATCTTATTTTATTTATCTCCCACTTAATATTACCCATATATAAAGTGTATTCTGTGTCCTACATGATATATTTTTCATTATCCATACCTCATTTAAGTAGAAACTTTTGATACTACAACCCACTTATTTGCTTTATCAGCTGTAGTTATTTTCTTAATAGATTTTAATTTCACCTTAATTTAAGAAAACAGTTTCAGGACCATTGAGTTGTAATATATTTGCCTAACCGATCGACATAGTTATGACAGTAGCATTAAGAGCCTCCATAGTATGAAATTTCAGTGTTCTCATCCCAAACTTTAAGTTTTCGTTGTAATTCTTATCATCAGGAGCCTTCATCTATGAATATAAACTATTGAGAAACTTACTGTAACAAATAATATACTCTAAACTGTCTGATTATATTTGTTTGCCTTTATGATGTTTAGTTTACCATTACGTACTAATTACGTTACGCTTACTGTTGTCAGCAAGTCACTTATATGCAAAGTAGAACCTGGAACACATGTGGATAAACTCAACTTACCACACCACATCATCACAGTGAAATGAAATCATAAAGAAAAATACAATAGTAGTAGAGATAGTAACGGTAATAATGGTAATGGAAAGAATTTGGCATTCAATAATGATCTAATGTAGATTGGTTCAGGATTTCGATAAAATGCCAGCGTGGTAGAAGCAGATATTACCATTCGAAATGAATAAATTCGCGGAATTTTGAAACTGAAGATCTAAGGGAAGACAGGACCAATGTACCTGTGTCATTAAGACCGATCCTAAACCATATCACCACATCACCAATCATTGGTTTCGATAATCACGCGGACCCCAGTCAGACAGTCTACACCTACGTACAGAGCTCAGTTCGGAAATCAACGACTTCATTTACTCATGCCATTTCTTGATTTGGCTCTCCTTCAAATTACTCCCACACCAGGGAATATCGCCCATCGCGGTAAATGGTGGTTAGGTATACCTAGTATATATCTTAACCAACTCAGTCAATAAAGAATCACTACTTCGACAACCGACTCACTATCCTTAACTAGTACACTGCATCTGACAGCATCGCTCACTCTAGCAATGGTTCTAAGGCACCTATGAACAAATGCCAGTAACCTACGAGCATTTTCTAATCTCAAAGATCACAATTCACTGTCATACAATGAAACAAAACAAACTGTTCAGCAACCTACGCGCTTTTTGTTTGTCAACCGAGCATCCCCCGCGCCACAGCTACCAAGTCAGGCGAGGTTAGTTGCAATTACTGTAGCAGCTGTTCAAAGTAAAATATTTTCACTTTTAAAACCTAAGGCACTTCAATATAGCCTACTACCAAGTGTTTGTAGTGAATTAAAAGATGTCCTTCACTTGTCTATATGATGGATAAGCTGTTATAACTGAACAAAAATCCTGTACCGAGTGATATGAAGAAGAGTACAATAATCAAGGATGAGGATCTATAATACAGCGGAAATGGGCCACAAACTATGTCTAAATACATTGGCTTTAACATGTTTTATTTATGCTGATTAATAGTCAGGTTTTGAGAAAACTAATCTTAGATGAGCTTTACGTTAATCGGTAACTTGATTCCTAAACAAAATTCACAATATCATGAGATTAAACTCTCATAATCAACAAATATAACCGATCTAACTGTTTCAAAATGTAAGTATTTGTAGAAGGTTAGTGAAAATAGGAATAACTTTTCAATATAATTAATCCCATGTTCTTCATTTTTTCAAACCTAATATTCGCAGATGATTTAGTCCATTCAACAAAGTGTCATACTCTCTATTCGTGGTTAATTATGTAATACAGTCTAAGTAACTGGATGTACTACCCAGAAAATACTGGGTGAATGTGTATCATCCGTGTCACCAGGGCTCACGGTTACAGACGTTCACATACATTTTATACAGTTAGATAGAGTAGATTAATGACTATCTATATAACAAATAGCGTTATGATTTTATGTGCTAGCATAATATACATTCTTTTTCTTCGGACATAATTATGTAACACTTTTTTGGAATTTTGATAGTCAAACGTAAATTGTGTTTCTAGGGGATTATACAATCATCCACAATTATAGTAGAGTATTTTTAGATGCCCAGAATGTAGAGTGAATACTGTTTTCTACTAGTGATTTAGTTCTCATTAGTTCCCCTACTTACAAAATTTGTACTTATGTGCCATGATGGCACCAGAAAGATCAGCCTAGTGCTCCTTGTGTGGCAGTTCAACGTCATGTTCATATTCTTAAGGTCAGCGACCGATTACACATAGATTGAATGAGAATCTGAATAGCACTACTTAATGTATATTTAAGTAATTAAACCTATTAACGTGTACACTAATAAATGGAGTCCGAATGGAATTGACTTTACGTTTGGCTAAAGTAGTGATAGCATTCAATCAACAACAGTATTAGACTTTTATGTAATTGTGGTAGACTTGAAACAATACTGTGATTTGCACTGACAACTATTAGAAGTGAAATAACACTGGTGCGATAGTTCCCAGCGGTTGTATTTGAAATGTAATAACGCAGTGGTGATGTAACAAAATAAGTCTAAAATTGCATTGGGCAGATCCAACCTGCATTGAAGTTCAGTTTACTTGAACGTATGTGGTAATCAGAGTATCTCGGATGTTGATAGGTCAGACGAATAATGAAATGAGATTGCAAGTAGATAGACAGACAAGCAAACAAATGTGTAATTAAAAGAAATGCTGGTAAGGTTTTAGTAATCACTCAGTTTAGAAGAAGTTAACCAATAGAATTGAATTAATATCTATGATAGTCACATGGTTGGTCAAATCTTGTATTTCAAAGTGAGCAAAGAACTGTGTGAATTAGGCATGTTTATATCAATTACTAGATATCATCACTGCTTTTGTGTCATTTTAAAACTTATAAAAACTCATGTATTTTAAACGTAGCATGCAAGCTGAAGATATACCTAAATGCAAATGGAAATATAAATCGTCAACAGCGTAGTGAAGGCGACTGGGTTTAGTGTCATTATTTAGAAATGTATTTGTCTCATTCATGATCAACATAGAACCAAACACAAAGGAACGTTAGCTCAGTGCTTCATACCGCATCAGCATATGGAGATCAAATTACAAAGGTGAGTAGCTATCGTGTCTAAATAACTTTAAAATAAAAAAATAGAAAGAAAAACAAAACATTGGGAATGTAGTTAATAAAAGAATGATGTTTCAAAGAATACTGAATCTAAAGATTCAGAGCAGGATAGAGCGTAAATCCGCCTGAGCCCCTGCGGTCAGTTCTAAGCTATCCCATTTGTTATCGATCGCGGTCATCTCAGGGAGCCCAACCAACTTGTCTGTTCCTATCAACACTGCTCAGTGATAGTTTCATGGACTAACGCCGTGTCTTGGTTTGGTCGCTTCTAGCATTTTTCAACCTAACTCTACTCCAGCTAGGACTGAAATTCAAAGTGGGCATGTTATGACTGCGTCACCAATTGTTATATCGGGTCGTCACTGATTGTTATATCGGAGTCACTTATTACTTATGCTTGTAAAAACGAGGAGCCACAGCTATTCCCAAGACGCGAAAGTAAGAACACAAGGACTGGTACAAATGAAGGTTTATTAGCCCCAAAACACGACGACCCTAGTCGAAAATACACTCATTTATATATTGATTAATAATAAGAATGAAATCATATATTTGAAAAAAATATTTAGTTATAAAAAAATCAACGCTAGATGTCATACTAAACATAGTTTATGTTAGTTTAATACAAGAATATCGTATGTTATACTGAATAAATTACCTTACTCGAAAACAAAGCAAAGATTACACTACGCGATTATCACATTGAATGGAAAACGGAAGTAAAGTTGACCAAAAATCACAATGAGTAAGAGAATCTACTTTTAACTTTTCATCCCGTCACATCAGGGCAATGGTTAGATATATGTAACAAAATTTCAATTCCTTATTAGTCGATCATTCATTTCTCACTAGTACTCTATGCCTAATTTCAGCACTGTCTACCGAATTATCCCACCATGGGTGATTAATACTTCGAAGACACCTGTTATCAAATATTTGGAGTCAACTACTATTTTTACTTTCATATCCATAGAGCAATGTAGAATCGATTACTATCCAGTATCTTTTCAAATTATTTCCTAGAAGACCAAACTCCACTATTTGCGTTTAATATAAGTCGATGGTAAGAACTAGCTTCAAATATGCATTTGTTTAGACTTTTTGTTACAAATAAAGTGATTGTTAACATCTTCACTTTTAGAGAATAACACCAGTGTTAGAAATATCTATCTACTAATAAACTTTAACTTCATAACGGTTCTGCTGAGGCTACTGATAACATATACAAGAAGTTATTATGGTAATCCATGATGTCATCGTTCTACTGTCCGATTCAGATAAGCATAAACTCTTCTTGGCCCTTATCCCACCAGCTATGATTTATTTTGAAGAAAAACTGTATAATATTTCACACAACTCGTGTATTTGTAAGTTACTGGACTTATTAAAAGAAGTGAAAGATGGTCGGCTCTGGTTGAGTGAATATTTTAATTATTAGCGATA